GAAAAAAGAAATAAAAGCATTCATATTCATAATAAATTAAATGGCTTAATAAAATTATTGATCAATTAAAATATCTATGAATATATCATCTCTATTTTGTTTTCTTTAAAATTTGATATTGACTATTTAAAAACAAGTTTTATATACTAAAAGATACAGAGCTTATATAATAATTTATCTCACATTTAGTTAACAACTATATTACTGATAAATTAATTTTAAATTACAAAATATATAAATTATTTCAATTTTTAAAATTTAATTTAGATTATATTTTTAAACTAATAGAGATAATAAATATCAAATAATTATATGCTTTAATTAGCATATAAAATAATTGAACATGTATCTTAATCAAGCTATATTAATTTTAAAGTAAGGTTAGCTAATTTAAATGCTTATTTTGTATATTAAAATAATAACTATTTGCTACTTCAATTTAAGTTTTTTTATGAATCTTTCATTAATAAATTTAACAAATTCATTAAAGAAAATCAGCTTATTATAAATTTAAGAAGGCTATTAAAGAAAAATATCACATCTCAGAAGATCCTTATGTTTCAATTATTTATGAACTTCTATAAACTTATTAATCCTCATTTTCTTTTTATTTGTTTATTTTATATGGATTTTGATCATTCCATAAAATGATGGCTTCTCTTATTCTTTTAGCTTTTATTTTCAAATCATTAAGCTTTTCTGTAAACTAAATGGGGAAATTAGCTTCTTCATTTAGCTCTTTCATCTATAATTTTTAGATGCTTTACCATTATTTAAATTCCTCTTGTTGATATTTATTGTTTTCTTCTATTATAAATAATTAATGATATTTTATTTTTTCGTTTAATAAATAAAAAAGTAAATACTGATTTTAGGGAAAATAATTTTAACTTCTTGCTATGGATTAAATGACTCAATAAATTTCTCTATTTCCTTTTACTTTTGCTATTAAAAATATTAATATATTTTTTTCTTTTCTATTTTTTCTTGATGTTATTTTTCTTTAAGTTTTTCTTGTTCTGCTGCATCATTTCTATCTTATAGAATTATATTTGGAGTTTTTTTTAAAGTAAACTTTTCTTTGTTCCAGATATTGTAGTGACCAATTCCTGGCTAAGAGGCTTTTCTTTTCTATATTAATTAATTTAATAAAATTCTACTTTTATAATTGAATCATTGCTAATTACTGTGTTTATTAAAGATTTATGAGGACTTTAATTTTGATGATGGTGTGATTAATCATAATTAGGAGTAGATAACAAAATTGATTTCTCGTTAGCTGCTCTACTAGAGAGATATCCTTTAGGAGTTAAAACCTATCGTTCTATTTATCCGCTTCCTCTGTTTATAAATTTAAAATATGGATTAATAATATTGTTATCTATTTGGCTTGAAAAATTTATTATGCAATTTATATTAAAAACTTAATTTGATTACATTTTTAATTCATTCATTGATGAAAGAGAAATATTGCTCCTACTTGCTGGTGTCATTCTTTTTTTAACTTAGATATTAAAATGACTATCTTTATCAAATTAATAATTTGGCTTATTCTAATTATTCATATTCTAGCTAGTAATGTCTTACATTAGGCTATCCCCAAGCTTATAGCCAACCAAATTGACTTTCTTTTTATTTCTTTTAATGATGTCTTATTCTACAGCTAGTTTGACCTACTGCAGAATATCATTCGAATGTTACTTTAATTAATTGAAATTATAAATATACCTATCAAATAGATTAATATTAATAAATAAATAAATGAATTATGATCTAGAAGTAGTTGTAAATATACTAAATTTTCCTCTAAAATTCAATTAAATGATTTACAAATTGCTAAAATGATTTATGACTTCCTAATATGTGTTTATGTGGTTATCTACTTGTTAAACTACCTTAAAAATTGAGTTCTAACTCTGAATTTATTGAAGATCCTGGAAGTGATTTGGGTAATAATCTGCCTAAAGCATCTCTTTCTTTGGTAAAAGGAAGGAATTCTTTAGGTTGTTAGGTTATTTTGCTAGAATTGTTAGCTTTACTTAATTGATCGGATATAATCTACTCATTATTAAAACAATTTTAATGTTTATTTATTGTGTTTAATTACAAAATTTCAATCAGTAAATTACATTTTATATTGAGTTTGATGATTGCCTTGGAGTTAAAGTATTTTTTTCTTGCAAAAACGATTTAATATCCAATAAACTCTATTTATTTGAATAGATCTTTGGAGGTTTTTCTTCGTAGCTTTCAGTTTTCAAGTTATTTAAAGAAGGAAGCTTAAACATTTTAAAAAATTTATTATACTTATTTCCTTAAAGTTTTAGCAATTGATCATAAAGATATATTTATAAATTTACTAAAATTTTCAATTCAAAATCCTATTAAAAAAGGTAATGAATGAGAAAATTAATCAATTATTTATTTTTTTATTTATTTATTCATTCATTCTTGTAAAACTTGTAAAAGCGATTAATGGTTGCAATTTATTTAGAAGCACTATGATATTTTAGTCAAAAGATACAAATGTATATCCAGTTTAGTAAAACTTCGTTTGATTTAATTATTACCATTAGTTAATATTTTATTTGGTTTTTTTAAAAGAATCAGTTAAATAAAATATTTAATTTTCTATCAAATAACCTTATTTATAATATTATAAAATGTAATAACTATCACAAATTAATTTTAAATAAAATAAATTAAAAGTTTATTTTTTATTTTTCTATAAAAAATATTATTTACTTTATCAAAATGAAAACAAAAATGAAATATTAAAAATGTTAAATAGTAATTGATTAAATTTATTTTTATTTAATTTTTCAATATTCTTTTTTAAATTTTAAATCATATTTCAATTTTAATCAACAAAATATTAAAAAAAAGCTATTTTCAAAAATCAAATTTAATCAGCAAATATCAGATTAATATTTTAAAACATTTGCTAATTTTAACAATTTTAATAAAAGTATGATTTTATTTCATGCAAGATGCAAGGAGTTTTCATTAATAAAAAATATAACCTATTATGTATTGAATTTGTTGCATTATTGTAATAGATTAAAAAACAAACAATTAAAGTACAAAAATAAATTTAAATATTTCAATTAATTTAAGTGTAAATAAATAATATCAGTCAGTAATATTGTTTTAAGTCCAAATACTTTTAAAGTCTCTGATCCATTAATATTCATTAAGTAATCAAGATATAACTAAGTTATTAGTAATAGTTATTGAAGAAAAATACTTGGAGTAGAAGAAGTAATTATATTATTTAAAGTAAATATTAAAATATAATCAACATACATTCTTTAACAAAATATATAGATAAATATGATTAATAATAATTAGATATAGGAAGCACTAATAAATGGCTCCGATACTGTTTCATAAATAAATTCAGAAGATGATCATAGCAACTAGTAAGGGACTAGTAGTAATATACATAAACGCAAATCAGATGCCTCTTTCCTTTAGAAGATATCGTTTGATGAAGCCTTGAAATAAGTAGGTGCTGAAAATTGGTATTAAATTAGGGCCTTTTTATATTTTAGCATGTAATGGTTTTTTGCTGCATGGATACTCTTAGGCAGCTAATTTATTCTATTTCCAGCTGAATTTGACAGTGATTTTTGTGGTGACTTATCAAATGAAGATTGCTAGGAAAAGGTATGCAAACAGGAAGATCCTTTGTAATACATGACAAATAAAGATACATCTATGATAGGAACTTTTAATTTAGTTTGTGATAACACAAAAATTAGTATCATATAAAGTGTCCCATATTTAGGTTCTTTAATAGGTTTCTTTTTATTTTCATGGATAGCAGATAACAAAGGTAGAAGAATAGCACTAGGAATTTCATGGCTCTTAGCATCTCTTGGTGCTCTTTTACTAGCGTTGAGTTGGGATTATTACTCTGCAACTATTGGTTTTTTTATAGCTGGTTTTGGTGTTAACCCTGCAATTACAGTTTAGCTTTCATTGTTGAGTGAGCATTCAAGTAATTAACCTAAATTAAAATTTAGTTAATCTATTTTTTGGTTCCATTTTTAAACTTAAATATTTATAGAGTTTGTTAGATTAAAATGAAGTGGAGTTATATATACAAAATTTATATAGATTTTTTATAGATTTGAGTTAAAAATTAATTAAGAAAAATTGATTCCTACTTTTGGCAATATTTCTAAATTAATAAAAAAACTAGACTTGCTTACATAAGATTAAAAGTTGAATAAAAAACTTTAATTTTTTAAAGAAAAAATTTTTAGCAGACTAAATAAATAAATTAAATTTATTCCTAGTAAATCAAGCATTTAAAATTAAATTACATTGATATTTGAAATCTTATTTTTTCAATTAGTAGCATTGAAAGCTAATTATTTTTTAAACAAAAAAGTTGGTAAAATAAGAGAATACACTACTATTGGTGTTTAAGTGTTTTATGGTATTGGCGAATGTGTAATGGTAGGTATAGCTTATGCTGTTCCAAACTGGAGACATCTAACACTCTATTTTTTAGCTATTCCCATGCTACTTATTAATTTTGGTATCTTTTTAGTTTATGAATCTCCAAAGTAATTTTTTATAATTAGATAAATTCAAATAATCTTTGAAAGGAACAATTATAAATATTTTAATAAATAAATCAAATAGGTTTGTATATGAAAGAAATACTTTTGATGCTTTTGAAATTTTAAATAAAATTGCAGTAGTTAATAAAAAGGAGTCATTAAAAGTGAACACTCTGATGAGTGTAATAAAAGAAAAATCTGAAAATTCTTTTTCTGTTATCCATCTATTTAAGTACTCATCGTTGCGTTTAAAGACAATCTTTTCATGCTTAATTTTCTTTTCTATTTAAGCTGTGTATTATGGAGTAACTTTTGCCATGAGTAAAATAGGGTTAGACCTTTATAAAAATACAATAATTATTTCTTCTGCTGAAACTTTGGCATATCTAACTACAGGTAAATTTATTTTTTTAATATTAATATCTATTTTTAACTTTATTCTTTCAAATAAGACCATTTTATTCCTAAGATCAAAAGAAAGTGGACAACTTTAATTGGGCTCATTATTTGTTGTGTTCTTTCTCTTTGCTATCAATTTTTAAAGACACCTAGTGATTGTGACATGTGTACTATGGTTATCATCTAAATTGTATTTGCAGCAGTATAAATTTAATTTTATTATTTACCATGCTTTAATAGCAAAAGCCAAATTATTTTAAAAAGTTTATTAAAAAGAAATTAAATTAGTTTAATTATTTTCTTCACTTTGATTAATTTAAATTAAAATTATTTACAAATATAATATCCTTAAGAACAATAAACTAAAAAATTTAATTATTTTCTTCACTTAGATTAATTTAAATTAAAATTATTTACAAATATAATATCCTTAAGAACAATACACTAAAAAATTTAATTGATCTACAAAAAATTTTAAATATTTTTTACAATTTAATAAATTTGAATAACAATATTTTTTAATTTAAATTTTATTAATAATGAAAATATTGAATTAAACTTATTTAATTAATAGATAATCAGATTTTCTATTTGCTTTGTATGGACAGTTGTTTATATGTATATGACGGAGTTATTCCCAACTGTAGTAAAAAGCTTGGCTTTAGGAATTATTTCTGCATCAGGTACTATTGGAAGCACTGCTGCTCCTTATATTGGTAATGTTTCAACTGCTATTGGTGTAAGTCCTATGATCTCATTAGGAGTTCTAGGTCTGGTTGGAGTTGCTTCAACTATTCCTTTAAAAGAAACGCTAGGTTAACCTTTATAAAATTAAATAGAAGAACTCTAATCAGAAGAAGATAAAATTATTCTAATTAAATGATAATCAAATATAAAATTATTTAAATCAATTTGAAAAATTGAATATTTAAAAATAGATCTATTTCAAATATTTATACTCATTTATTTTTTATATAATTTTTAATAAATTAAAATAATTGAGATAGATTTTTATTCTTTTAAAAATAATTTAATTTTCATATTTTTAATAAAAAACATAAAATTTTCCAAAATATTTTTAAAGTTGATTTCTCACCACTATTTTATTAATGTTTTACATATTAAAAAAATGATCTGATTTATAAGAAATAAAATTTTGTTTGTTTTCTTTAATTATTAAAAATCAAAGAGATTGTGTTGTAATATGATTATAATGATGAATATCTTTTAAATACTTTGAAATTTGATGAATGTTGCCAATAAAATACAATTAATAAATAATTAATTTAGATAATTCTAGTAAATAATGATGAAGTAAATGTTATACGTACTTAAAAAGATAATTATCTATCTATTCACTTACTAGTTATTCATCAATAAATCGGGGTAAAAAATACTTTATACTAACAAAAAATTGAATTAATTTAAAATAATAAGTGATAATATCTAATTTTTTTAATCATAAAAATGTAAAAGCTTAAGTATATAGAACTAGGTGATAGCTAGTCATAGTCAAGCCAAAATGAAGATTTATTTAGCAAAAGATCAGATGAAATGAAAGATTACCTTGAGCACCAAGATCTGGCTCATAATTCAAAATTAGTTTTTTAGGATGTGAATAGGTAATTATTTGAAGTAGAATTAAAAAAAGATGAAGAAGAAACCACAAAAAAGATATTACTTTATGTAAGATATCTTGAATAGCTTTAAAACTATAATGAAATGCTTTCTAACCGATCCATCAAGTTATAAGCAATATCTTCAAAGTATTTATTAAAATTCTTGAAGTATGACGTTGTATAAGATGATAATCTACCTTTAGTAGTTTAGCATTTAGAATCTAACAGTTAAAGATAGCCTTTTAGCGAAATTTATAAAGGATCCATACCAATAGATCATATCTTAAAAATTTTAAAGAGGCTAATTAAAATTGTTACATATCTTCATTAACAAGGAATATCTCAACTCGACTTAAATGAGAGAAATTTTGAAATTGATAGCCAAAGTTAAAAACCCATTTTGATAGGCATTCCATTATGTGCAAAACAAAATATTTCTGAAATGGAAGCATGTTTTTAAGATTTTTAAGAGTTAGGTTAGCTCATGCTTAAATTTATTAACAACTCAAATGCTACTTATGCAAATGAACTCAGCTTCGAGTAGATGAGATTAAAGACATGTGTATTATAGATTTGTTAGGAGTTTATTCAGTGCCGCTAATTTAAAAAAGGAATTCATGAATTTGTTGTGAAGCAGATGAATAGATTAACATGTATAAAGCAAATTTGCAAGAGCATTTCTTAAAGTGTTGAATAAATCAGCGTTCAATCATTCATCCCATAAAGAAAAACACAGGAAGAATTTCATAAGTAAATTGAAGCTTTAGAAATCGAAATTCTTGGATCTATCCCAGAGCATTACTAAAATAACTAATCCTTTGAAGTAAAATCATGCAAAGATAGATGGAAAAATTAAATTATTTGCTCTGTCACAAGTCTTTTTATAGTTTTGGTGATTTTATTCTTTTGGAAACAAAGCTAAAATCCTTTTGAATGTATCAGAGTAGACGAATCTTTATATTGTAAAGTGAATTTAGAAAAATAGGGCTTTTTATTTTAAGATATTGAGCTAGATATTTAGGTTAGGAATTTAACAATTGACTTTTCAAATAGCTTTATAAATGCTGATAAAATTATATCTTTACTAAGTAAAATTTAGCCTTATTCTTTGCAATACTTTATGATAGATTTATAGAATAATGATGTATCTAAAGAAGGTTTGTTAACTCTGTTTTAGTATTTGCAAAAATATCGTAAAGCATATGAAGTGAAACTAAATCTGGTGAATACGACATTAGATAATGAATATTTTGCTAAGTATTAAAATAATACTAAGGAGGCATATCTAATTATCGATGATTTAATAAAAGAATATGAACTAGTTAAATAAAAGATAGCTTAATTTTCAATTAATAGTAATTTTTCATCTTATTTTAATGCTGCTTTGTATATTTAAAATGTTGATAACACATAATAGCTTGGCAATTACATCTATCTAAAAAATTATGATTTAAAAGATGAAGAATTCTATTATATTTTTGAAAAGCTATTTAAAGTGAGAAGCTAAAGGATTTATGTTGATATTAATTTAGAAGAGAATTAAATTGATGGCTCTTCACTCGCAAAAATAATGAAGAATTTCATAAATAAATAACCGAATATCACAAGTTTAAACTTAAAGTTCAGCTATAATCCTATCAAGATGGAACATTTTTAATAGATTATATAATTGATTTAAGAAAATAATAATTTAGTTTTTGCTGATTTAGAATTTGACTTAAACCCTTTTAATATTGATCAAAACGAGTTCTTAAATTTAATTTTCTTTAAGAAAAATAAAAGTCAAAAATTAGAATCATTCAATATTAAAATAGTTTAACCACATTTTAAGAATTTATATCAAATTTCTAAATACTTGGTATCTAAAAACTTACCTTTTGGTATAGATGCATTGGTTAGTAATTTTAGCGATATTAATGAATTCCAAAGAGATTTCCCATTAAACCAAGAATACTGTTAGGCTGAACTTCCATAAAGAGTCTAAAATTCTAAAATTTAGATACATAAAATGGAAATAAAAACTCAACAAAGTGAAATTTTAACAGAAAAGAGTAAATTTAATTTCAAAATATGCCAAGATTAAAAATAAATTGAGGAGTCTTTGTAGACCTCTTTATTGATAAAGGTTTAAAAGTAGTTCTTATAAAAAAGTATTAGAATATTTGACGATAAATAAAGCAAAAACTTTTTCATAGATATAAACAGATAAGAATTTATATCAAATTTGTAAAATGATATGATTATCAATACTATCTAACCTTAAAATCAAAATGAATTCAAATTTAAATAGTTTATTTTTGAAGGATACCATATTTCTGATTTAACTGCTTAAAATATTGTTGAACTAATTAAAAATAACAAGCACTTAAATGAAGTTGATTTATCAGCTGAATTTAGTACTATTTCATAAAATTCTATTAAACTTCTTCTTTCTGTACTATACTCAGAAGAAAATATTAAATAATCTCATTTGAGTTTACATTAAAGTATATTATATGATGAAAAAGAATACCAATAAATAAGTTAACAATAGGAAATTGTAGATTTAGTGGCGGAAAGCATAGCTAAATCTAAAAATCTTTTAGAATTGCATATATCATACGAAACATGCAATCTAGCTGCATTTAATCCAATTTTTAATGAATTTAAAAGCTCTAACTAATTAAAAAATCTGACTGTTGATTTTAATACTAAAAATATTACAGAATTAGAGTTAAGAAATTTCTATTATACAGCAAGAAGTTTTAAAGATGAAGGAAAAAATCTTAAAACCTTTAATTTAATCCATTAAATAACTGATTTTAAAAAAATATATTTTGTATAAAAATATTATGAATAAATTTTATTTGAAATGAGAGAAAATAATGATGATATATAGATAATTGGCTTAGATGAATTGAGTGAGTTAATGATATAAGATTTTATTGATGAAATTAAAAATTTTAAAACAAAATAATTAGTATTGAATTTTAAAGATGAAATTAAAAACGAGCAAGTAGATCAAATTTTCTCAAAAATTTCTGAAAATTCTTATATATAAAAACTATCTCTTTAATCTTAGTAGTTATAAAGCAGCAAAATTAGCTGCATAATGTCTAATCTTTCAAAAAGTTTATCAATTACAAACTTATCTATTATAATTGTCAAACAAATAGATGAAGTAGAAAAATAAAACACAACAGAACAATCAATCCAAAAGATAATAAAGGAAATGAAGAATTTATAAATACTCTTCTTAGAGTGCAATAGTTGTTTTAAGAGTGAAAAAAGCTTCTAAAAGGTTGTCGATTTAGCTTATCAATCATAAAACTTGCAAGGTATTAACCTGATAGATAATGATTTAATTTTAGGCGGATAAACTTATAAAAGAATCGCATTGATTCAAGCTCTCAGTGAAAAAGAAAAGTTTTTCAAAATACCTCAATAATATTAATAAACATTCTAAGAATATTTGAAATAATTCACAAATAATGACAAACAGATCCTTGATTTGGTTTATACACATTCAGGATTAGATGAATCTTTGCTACTATTTTTGAATAATTATATCAAAAAATATTAATCTTCATTGAAAAAAATTAATATCGAATTTAATTAAAATAATATAACCAATAATGAAATTCATATTTTGTCAAAAGCTATTTAAAATCTAAATGATTTGTAAGAAATAAAAATAAACTTGTAAAATAATAAAATTAGCAATGAAGGCTGTAATGCTCTTTTAAGTAGCTTCGCTTCCTAAACACATATTAAGAATTTTTACTTGAATTTAAAAGATAATGATTTAGTTGAATTTGAATGTTTACCAAAGTTATTCAATTTATTACAAAGTATAAACGAAATTTAAGAAATATCTTTAATTTTACCTAACATTAATGAAAATTCTTTTACTGAGATCCTAAATAATTTGTAAAATAAGCAATAGTTGCGCATTATATTAATAGATGTTGATGAACTTCTTATTAAGATGAAAGAAGCTAAGTTAATAGGGTCTAAATTTGGAAAGCAATAAAATCTAAATAGTTTTACAATTAAAGGTTAATTCGAAAGGGTAATTTAATCATATTTCAAACTTTAAAAACTTTAACAAGCTAATAATACAGAATTTGATTTAGATTTCTCAAATACATTTTAGTACTATGAATCAATAGAAGAAATATTTTAATAATTAAATGAGGTTAAAGCGAAACCTTAAAAATTAGTACTTGACTTTAGCTTGAACTCTATTTAAGATGACTCTGTTCATTTGATTGGATCTTATATAGAGAAAAATATTGAATCAATAACTGATTTAGAAATTAATTTAAGTAATAATCCTATTTATGATGAAGGAATTTCAGAATTATCTAAAATCCTTTAGAAAGCAAAAATATTAACCAATTTCACTTTAGACGTTAAAAATACTAACATATCATTTAATTTTTTGAATTCGATACTTGAGTTAAAAGAAAATAATTAGAATATTTATTAGATTATATTAAAGCTAAATAATTTAGATGCAGAAACTCAAAAAAAAGCAGAAAAATTATTCTCCTAATATAAAGGTGTTTAACTAATTTTAAATTCTAATTGAAGATAAAATATAAATATTTTTTTTAAAATAGTCTTTTTTTTTCTATTAATTAAGAAAATCGTCTGAAGTAAAAATATATTTTTATCTTTTAAATTATTAAATATAAAATCTTAGTGGTCTTTATGTCCAAATAGTTTTTGTCAATTTATATGAACATTTTAATTTTCTTATTAATATTATAATATATGTATATACTTGAATCCCGCTGCTATTTTGCAAGCCCAGCTGTTGCGCAAAGCAGCAGGATTTAAAATCGATTAAAAAATGAAAATAATTATAAGCGCTCTCAGAGGATAGATTTATAATTTCATAATATGTTAAATTGTGATAATTTCTTATTTAAATCTATTAAATAAATTAAAATTTGAATATTTGATAATTAAAATTTATGGCTTTTGTTTCTTCGAAATTCAAATTTAGTTTTCATTTATAATTTAAATTAGTAACTAAATTAGTTTTAAAGCATGACTTCATGAATTCACTTTAATTAATAAAAGTATAAATTTAAGAATCTTTGAATAACGTCACAAATATAAACATTAATGTTAATTAATTATGGACAGAAATTAATTAAAAGAATGAATTTCGATTGTAAGATTTTTTTCCCATTTATTCAAATTCAAAATCGATAATTAATATTTTATGGTATTTCTTAAATTAAAATTAAAGATTACAAGTGTTTGAATGGTCAATATTATTGAAATATCTAATTTATTTTAACGATTTCATGTTTTTATATGTAAAAAAAGAATCATTTCAACAATTTTATTGTTTATTATTGATTATCTCGCAAAATAAAAATTTTTTTTTTTGAAGGTAAAATATTTTTATAATATATTTTAAATAAAAAATATTTCATTTTTAACTCTATAACTAAATATCTTATTTATTTTTTCATTAAATCAGCAAATGAATTAATAATTAATTTTTAAAATTTGATTCCAACTAAAAATGTATTAAGTAATCTTAAATTTTTATCTCTCAAAACATTAAATTTACATTTTTCGAATTTAATTTTGATTAAAAATCAAAAAGAATTTAATATTTGTAATTAGAGCAAAAATTTACTTTAAAATATTCTTAGAAGACAGACAGTTCTTTTATTAATTTTCTTATTTTTAATTGCATTCTAATCAAAAATTAAAATAATTTTTAAATAAAGAAGTTAACTATAGCTATTTTGAAATTGATTTATAAATAATTCTCTATTTAAAATTTGGATATAAATTTCAATATTTATTAATATTTGGCATTTTTCAAAACCAAATTTTATATTAAATCTGCCAACATATTAATGATAAATGAAATGTAATTCGAAGAACATGATTTAGAAAAAATTCAATTAAATTAATTTATTTATTAATCAATTAAAAAAATAAACATCAAAAGAAAATTATTAGTTTATTCAAATAGAATATTATTTACATGTTTGCTGAAGAAAAACTAAACAATATTTTACAATTCTAAATTTACATTTTTTTCATCTTTTGTATAATACCGTTAGTGCTCTTGAAAAAGATAAGTATTTTTTTTTTAAATTATTTTTCAAATTGTTATCTTAAACATTTTGAAATTAGAGCTTTCTAAATTCGAGCTTAATTATACTATATTAGAAGTATTATGGTAAATTTTGTATTAAAAATTTTTGTTTACATACAATTTTTAATTAATTTAGATTATTATTCATTCTTTTTGAATAAAAGTACTAAAAATAAATAGCGATTATTTTACTTACATTAATATAAATAAAAAAATTAAAATATAATTTTATTCTCTTTTGTGATAATTATGAATAATAAACTATCTTATTAATATTTAATAAAATTTAGAGTAAGCATTAATAATAACTAACTATTAATATTTCACAATTTAGAGCAAATTATAAATTTTTATTTTTTTAGATTACTGAATTCTTTTAGAAAGGTATTAAAGCAAGTAATAAATTATAGTTGTACTAATTCCTATTACTTCACCACATTTCTAAGCAACAAAAACTTCTTAAATCATAGAAATATTTATCATAGCTAAAATTTATCATACAATCTTTTATAAATTATATTTTTGATATGCTTTATTTGAAATTTTCCTTTTGAAATTTTAATAATTAAATATAAATTTTTATAGTTTTTAATATTAAACACATGTCTTATTACTGAAAATTAAATTTATTTAGATATAAGAAAATTAAATAAACTAAAACTTAAAAAAGTTAATTATAAAATCGTTTCGTTTGTTTTTTAAATAAGAGTTTATTTAGTACTTTTTTTCTTTTATTTGCAGTCTAACAATATAAATAAATACATTCATTTTCTATTTATTTGTAGAAGTTGAGTAAATTAATAATTTTATTAGAATGTATCAGTATTAAGTTTATTAAATTTATTACTTAAAATGCTTATTTTAAATATGAAGGTAAAAATGATTATTTTGATCTTATTAATTCCAAATAGATATTTAAAATCAACAAAAATTATTTACATAAAATAATAATTTTTATATATGATTATTATCTGAGCAAAGTATTCAACATTTTCTTCACTTTTTATATAAAAAAATAGATGCTATGTTTTTATTTTATTTAAAAATTTTAGCTTACTGTTTTTCAATTTTTATTAAAATTAAAAAATGTATAAATTATTTTTATCTTACTTTTACTAGTAAAAATTAAATCAATTCATGCATCATAAATAGGATCAAGTAGCACAGAAATATTTCAAATTTGAACAACATTTTTAGTTTAAATACAAAATGTTTTTTTAATTAAAATTGTAATAATTAATAAAATAAAAATAAAAAAAATTTAAAAATAATCATCTAAAATATCTAAAATGAAATTTATTACTATCGCTCTTCTTGCTTTGATTGCAGTATCTGTTAATGCCGATTTGGCAAGTTGCATCCAAGGATTACCCAATCCTTGTGGTTCTAATGCTGATGCCTCTTGTATGACAGCTTTAAGTTAATTTAATACCTGCCTTACTACTAATTCTTGTGCCTAAAACGTTAACAACCTTTCTGACTATAGCAAATGTGTTAAAGGTTGTGCCCCTAGCTCAAATACCGATGTCTAAAACTATGTTAACAAATATGCTGACTGCTTAAGTGGAAGTATTATTGCCTACAGTTTCGTCTTCTTAGCTATTTTAACCTTTATGTTCTGAATAAACTTAAATTAATTAAAAATTATTAATTTTAAATAAATATGGGAATTAATTTATATATTCTGATGTATTTATAGGTAATAATTTAAGTTGAACATAATATAAAAAAATTCATTTTTTAATATTAAATATTTTTTTAATTTTAAAATATAAAACAGATTTATCTTTTTTATATTAAAATTAAAAGTATTTGAATTTTTTTTATCACATTTATAATGAGAAATTAAATGATTATTTTTGACGAGACATATAAATAAATAATCAAAAATTTAAATTACTAATCAAATATTATATTAATATCAGTCAAAAATTTATTCTCTTTAAATATTAAATACCATTTATAAACCCTCATTAATTAATTAACATCTTCCGCACATCCTCATTGGTCCAACCTAAAATGATGCCAAAAAAACTTAAAAGTTTTATTGAGTAGAGGGGCTTTTAAAATATGAATAGAATAATAGTAAAATATTGAGGATAATTAATTAAGATTATTAATGAATTCGAGCAATATTTATTTGTTTGAAATTAAAGGATGATTTTAGATTACATATTTTATTTTATTAAAAGTGGTCTAAATTAAATTAAATTTTATCGTTACAACCAATAAATAAATAATATGAAATATCTACTAAATATCTTCTTATTCGAAATTATTATAATAAATTGCTAGCACTTTTGCTTTTCTCATTGTAGAAATCTTTGCTCTTTTAGAAAAAAAAATCAATTAAAAAATAACTCCTTAAAATATAAAGTACGATATTCACTGCTATTTTTTTAATAACATCTGTTAAAGCTGAAGCTAATACTGATTTATGCTGCTAAATTTAATCCTAATCTAATATAATTTAGTTTATTTATAATTTTAAATTATTTTATTAACATTTCTTAAAAACTTATTAAATTTATTAAATTAATAGTTATTAAAAGAAAATAATATAAATTTTAAATATAATATTATTTATTTTAGATTAATTAATTTTATTGATGATGCTTAAATGAATATTAATTTATATCTTCAATCAATAAATCAATTGATTTTTGTAAAAATTTTCTTTAAAAAAAAAATTTTTTTTTTCCCTTTAATCTAATTAATATTAAATGAATATTAGAGTAGATTTATAATATTCTCTCTTATGAAATATTTATTTTGCTTGTTGAATTCATAATTTTTATTAGCAGCGCAATATAAAAATGAATCCATGCTGAGTATAATTTTTTTTTGAAGTGTACCATAAAACGAAGGCTTCAACTTCCCATTGTAAATTAATGTAAAATCTATTTTTTTAGATAACAATAATTATATAAAAATGTTTATTAAGATATTATTTGATTAATTTCTCTTTTGGCTTTTACAACAATTTTATTTCTTTACCATTAATTGATTAAGTAAATGATTGCTTTTAGTTCATTCGAAATTGAAATCTACCACAAACTTAATATCTAGCTTTAATTTAATTTAGTTTTTTCTTATTTCTATTAAATTTATGAATTTTTTATATGCAAAAATTTCTATTTCATTGAAAATTAACAAAGTATTATTACTTAAACAAAAATTATTCAGTAAATTCTTAATAATTGGCTTTATATTTTTGATTTATCATTTTAATTTAAAATATTTTATGTTATTATTTTAAGATATTATGTATTTACATTGCAATCAATTTTTATTTCATTCGATTAATTGTAAACCAAAAGTGAGTTTACAAATTTTGAAATTATAATTTTTTTAGTTAAGTTTATATCTTCGAAATTGAAAATCCTTTAAATTAATTACGAATAATAAAAATAAAAATAAAAAATATTTATGATACGATTGATTCTAAATTAATTTAATGGTTTTAATTATTTATTTTACAAACATGAACTTAAATTAACAAAGTATTATTACTTAAACAAAAATTATTTAGTAAAGTCTTAATAATTGGCTTTATATTTTTGATTTATCATTTTAATTTAAAATATTTTATGTCATTATTTTAAGATATTATGTATTTACATTGCAATCAATTTTTATTTCATTCGATTAATTGTAAACCAAAAGTGAGTTTACAAATTTTGAAATTATAATTTTTTTAGTTTTGTTTATATCTTCGAAATTGAAAATCCTTTAAATTTATTACGAATAATAAAAATAAAAATATTTATGATACGATTGATTCTAAATTAATTTGATGGTTTTAATTATTTATTTTATAGCCCTAAACTTAAATTAACAAAAAGTTAAGCTTTTATTTAAATTCGAAGAAAAATTAATTTGGTATTTTTAAGTAAAGTTTTGTGCTTTTTAATATAAAAGTAAGATATTTTCGTTATTTTTTGAGATAGAATTAAATAAAAGTCTTTATATAATATCAAAAAATCATGCTAATTTATTACTTGAGTAGATACTAAAAGCGTGACATATATTTTTTAATATAAGTATTAAATGATATTATATTTTGCTTAATATTATTTAATATTTTGTTTGAATTTTATTAATATTTTTTTTAATTCTATCTAATTACTTCATATAGACCTCTTAAATGTAATGCAATTTAATTGATTGTTATTTAAGGATCTAAACTTTAACTTTAAATAGATGCAAATTTCGTTCATTTAGAAATTTATAATTAATTAAATAATAATTAAAAAGCAATTCCTTAAATAAAAAAAATTCACTGCTATTTGTTTGATCGCTTTATTAGCTTTAACCTCTGTTAAAGCTGATGCTAATACTGATGTTGCTAACTGTATTTAAAATCTTCCTAAGCCTTGTGCTTCTGGAGCTGGAGCTTAAGATGACACTTGTCCTAGAGCTTATATTGCCTACGGTGCTTGCATTAGTTAAAACTGCGCTTCAAAGGCATAAAACTTAAGTGATTATGCTAGTTGCCTTAAGTCATCATGTAAATCTGATAATGCTAATGTTCAAAAGTACATTGATGGACAAATTTCTTGTATTTATGGTAGTTTATTAAGCTTGACTACTTTGATCCTTGCTGCTTTTGCTTTATTTTTCTGAAATCAATTTCTTTAGTCAAATAAAATATGAAAATAATAATTAAATATTTGGAGGTATTTTATATGTATGTATGTATTTCCTGATGTATTTAATTTTTTCTAATTTTATTAGTTAGCATTATCTTAAATTTTTAGTTTTTTTGTTTTTGTTAAAATCAGCTCATTAAATATTTTATATTATATGTGTTTCAATTTTGATTAATTTATTTTAGAGATGTAATAGGATTAGCTAGCATGCAAATAAAACATACTTTTATATATTTCTATAAACTTAAGTTAAGATTTGAATTTTTTAATTATGCAAATATAATTTAATATTACTGCAGATCTTCCACATAATAAAAAATGAATTTATCCTATCATTTCAATCAAATTTAAATTAAAGATAGTAAATTTATTAATAAATTTTTATGAATTATGCTGATGATTAATTAAGATTTACGATATTTATAATTTAATATTCTTCAGAAGTAAATCTACTTTTTGATTAATATTAAATAAAGTATAAGGTTAGTAAAAATATTTCATTTATCTAATTACTAAACTTATAGTGATGGATTAACAAATTTTAACTAATTTATTTAGTTAATATTTAAAATTAATATATTTTTATTTAATGAATTGAGATATTTTTGGTTTCATATTTTTCAAAAAAAACTGCTTTTAATTAAATTTAGTTTAGGATTCACTTATAAATAAAATAATTATTTTATTTATTTTAAATATACTGTCAAAATATTTAAATTCATTCTATCAAAAAATAAGTTAGAAAAATAATTCTAATTTTGAGAATGTATTATTAAAATAATCTTTGACTAATAGTTATTGATAAAAAAAATATAAGAAATCTATAAAAGAATTAGTAGATTAATAATCAAAACATATACACATCGATTTTGTATTTTTTGATGATAAAAATTAATTAATTGTTGTTTTATCCTTAATTAATTTAAATTTGATATCACAAAAAATAATAATATGAAATTAATCAATTACTAAGAAATCTCTACTTTATAAAGAGCAAATTAGATAATTAATTAATTGATAATTATTAATTATTTTGCAAAATTAAAAATATTGACCTTTGATAATTTTAAGCATAATATAAAATGAAATAAATCACAATTATTTTTATACTTTTAGCTATTTTAACTACTATACAAGCTGATTCTGCTACTACATGTGTGGAAAATAATACTATGCCCTGTCAAAAAACTGATCAATAATGCTTGGTTGATTTTTCTAGTTATAATGCATGTCTTGGAACAAATAATTGCGCTTAGAAAGTAAGTAATAATTCAGCTTATGCTTAGTGCATATAAAAGTGTCCAACTTCAAACCAAATAGTTTAGAATTATATTAATACATTGCTTAAATGTCTTTCAAGCTCAAGAATTTAAACTTTTACTTTTGTTTTAATATTAGTTTATTCATTACTATATTGATGATTATACCATAAATATTTTATTAACTATGTGAACAATAAAATAGGTTATCCATAATAGATAAATTCAAATTTTCAGCTTATAAAATTAAAATAAATTGATCTATCATCCTTAACTTATGAATATCTACATTATATATATTGTCTATTACTCTAAAAGTGTGATTTTTAACTTAAATAAATTCATTTTTTTTTTAGTATTAGCAATATCATTTTTGATATATTTATCCTTTTTATTTTTTAATATAAGTCTATTATTTTATATAATTTTGTTTAATTTATATATACATATATAATTATAGTTAATGACTTCAGGAATATTTTAAATATTGTTTAAAATAGCTGACTTAATAGATTTAATTCGATAATATAATTATTTTTTATATTAATAGATATTCAATAATAATATTTTTCTAAATTTTAATTACATTCAAACAAAACTAAAAAGTAGATCAAAAAAGATATTTAAAAATATATTAAATGAAACAAAATATTAAATAAATACTTATGCTTGAATAATTAAAATAATTTGGAAATAATTACTAAAGAAAAAAAGTTGAGTAGATTTTTTCAATAAAATGATTTCTAATAAATTAAAATAATGAGTAAAAATTAAAGAGTTTTGCAAGAACTAAAACTTTTTGCAATGAATGATAGGTAAGTTTAACTATCTAATAGATATAATTAATTATTTATTTTCAAGTCATAATTTTATATTTTTTTTATATCAAATTTATTTTTATCATTTCTTTTGATTTCTAATAAATATCAAAATTCTGATGAGTATTAATTAATTTTTTATCTTACATGATAAATTAAAAAGTACATAGCAATTAATATTTGATTAATTTGGCATTTTTATTTAAGTAATCTAAGAAGATTGGTTGGTTTATACTATTTTTGTTTAACTTAATATAATATAAATTAATAAAAGTTTAAAATAGTGGTTGTTCAATAAAATAATTTTTTTGAAGTAATTTAATATTAATATTAATAATTTTTATTTTAAAAAAATCATAAATAAAATAAATAACATAAAATTTAATTTTTTTAATAGTAGTAATTTGAAAAAAAAGTCTAGAAAGATTAAAAATATGTCCAAGGGATTTTCAAAAAAATTTTAGATGATAAGAATAAGGTAGAGTTAATTTAGTTTGTGAGTATGCTGCTATATTTATCAAGGCATTAATTACATCTACATAATTAAATTTTTAATAATAATGAGAGTTAAAAGAATTAAACTTTTATTAAAAAAATGGAGAATCTTGGAAATTTTGAATATCTTAATATAATATTTAGAGATAAAAAATAGAAGAAGAGATAATTATAAATTTATGTATTAGCATCTAAAGTGATAAAATTTTCTAAAATCATATATAAATATCAATAATAATAATAATGATAATATCTGATTAAAAAGAATCTAGTTATATTATAGAACATTATTTTAAGATTTTTTAAATATGGATTATTTATATGCTTAAATAAAATTAATGGTTAAAGCTTTGGTGATAAAGAAGTACAAAGTATTTGATTGAGTATGTATTTAAAAATATAAATATTTTAATTTAATCTCAAAAAATTTTATACCGTTATTTTGGATAAAAAATAATTTAAAAAAATTGTTTTGTATAATTAATTTGTGATGTCAAATCTTAAAATAAAAATAAAATTAGTGAGATCAAATAGAAGAATATTTATTTCATAACTTTCTAAATTAAATTTAGTTAAATTTAATGAAGTTTTGTGTAATTATAATTTTTTGTTTTGTTAATATCTGATAAAATTACAAAAATTAAAAACTAAATAGCTGAATTAATCAGAAATATTTTAATAAGTACTAGAAGTAATTTATTAATCTACTTTCAAAATATTCATATATTTTTATTTTGTCTTGAAGCAGTGCAAATGGAAATATTTTTTTACTGATTGCAATTAAATAAGCATGAAAAACTTAGAGTTGTATTTAATATTTCAAATTAACTAATTTCTCTGAAATATAAAATTTTTAAAATATTTCTATCATTTATTTTATCGATTAGTTTTAATTAATAAAATTTTCATAAAATAAATTAATATATTTATTTATGAGTAAGACTCATCAGAATTAATCAAACAAAACATTTTTCTATCTTAATTTAAAGATATTTATTTACATTTATCTTAGTTGATTATAAAAGTACTGGCAAAAACTCTTTTCAGAAGTTAAAATAATTAAATTAATTAAAAATAATTAGAATAAATAAATAGCAAATCACTATCAAAAACAAGAAATATGAGAATAAGTATCACTATTTTGCTTGCTTTGGCCTTCTTCTCCTTAATTAATGCTGATATTGGAGATATTACAACATAGACTTAATGCTTGGCTAATACAGGTTCTGCTTGCAATAACTAAGACTCTGATTACTAAGACTGCATAGCAGACTACAACAGTGTGAATTAATGCACTATAGATAAAGGATGTTCAATTTCTGTTTAATCCAAATCTAGTTATACTAGTTGTGTTCAAAAATGCTAACCTAAAACTGATTAAGTTTAAAAATATTTCTCAAAATACTTGAACTGCATAAATAGTTCTAGAATTATCTCTGCCTTTTTAATCACTATGATTTTAGCAGTAGTATTAATTTGAAATAATAATTAAAAGATTGTTAAATATATCTATTTATCTATTGTAAATTATATGCATGTTTGTTTTTGATATTTGCAAAAATTATGATTGATATTTCAAAATTACAATGTTTTAAAATCATTTTCAAATATTTAAAATAGTTATATAAACCAAATATATCTAAATAATTGCTATAGATTAAGATTATTTTCTATAAACTATTAAAAAAATATATACACCTTTTTAAAAAGAAATTATTTATACTCAAATTATTGTATTATTATTTTTATAAAAATTATAAAATAATCTTAATTTGGATATAATTTTACTATTCTAATTATTTTATCAAAAATTTTACACAAACTTTAAATCCTCATTTACTAAAGTAGTTTTTCAAAACGCAATATTAGAAAATTTTTAGGCGATATAAATATTATTTTTTTAAAATTGAGAAGTGAGTAATTAATCTTATTATAAAGAGTTAGTTGTATTTTATATTAAAAAAATTTCAATAAGCCTAATTTAAAGGTTTTAAATTTATGTATTTGTATCATTAATCCACAAGATAAGGATTTTTATTTAATAATATATTTAAGTTTTAATGAAAAATAAAAGATAATTAAGATAAAATAGCAACAAAAAAAAAAACTGAGAATCAAATTAAAATGAATGTAATTTAGATTTTTTCTGATAATTTCTTATTTATTATTTGTATTAATTATAAAATCACCTTTCTTTTATTAATTTTTAATAAAGCTTTTAACTGATTTCAATTTAATTGAAAGTTATAATTTTTTAATGTATGAGTGTGAACAATTCTAATTATTTGATTTTGAAAAACTCACCTTGACATTATGAAATAAGTAAGTAAGCAATAAAAAAACATTTGAAACCAAAAATTAAGCTGAATCAAATAAAAAAAATATAATTTGTATTCTATATGTTTTAATGTCCACAAAAAAGATTTTTACAATAAAATTATTTATTTATTTATCAATTTTGCATTAAATATCATTTCATTTTAACAATTAATTAACATTTTAACTTTAAAAATGATTTAAAAAGTATAAAAAAATTATCTTTAAACTTATATTTTTATTAAATATATTTATTTGAAAAAAAAATTAGTTTGCTTGTAATAAATAGTAAGTAGATATTGTGATTTGACAGTTTTTATTGTCTATTTTATTAAATATATCTTTATCTTATTACTAATTCATCTTTATTTCACTAAATTCTATATTTAAAATATTTTATTCCAATAAATTTTTGCTTTATTCTTATTTCTAAATATATTTTTAAAAATTAAAATTTAAATATCTAAGGATTTAAGCAAATAAGAAGAAGAAAAAAATTGGTTTTTTAGGCATTCACAAGATTCATAATGTTCAAAATAATTATTTTTCATTTTAAAATTTGAAATTAAAATAGATATTTTTTTTGATTTAAGCAACATTTTTAGATTTAAATATTATGCTAAGAGTATTTAAG